GGCGGGGGGATGAAGGGACTCTTGTTAAATCATCACCCTTTCCCAGTCCTGAAAAGACACTGAAGCACCAGCCTTCTAAGTTAAATTTCTTAGTAAAGAGAGCATGCACCATGCACCTGGCAAACACGCAGCTTTGTGCAGCTTGCTGGAGGCACAGCGAAGTGGGAGTGAGCTGTGAGGTCTGCATTCTACTTGAATGCACAGTTCCTGCTCTCACCAGCAGTCACAGTCACTCACGAGGATGTGGCTAACCCTGGAAGAGACCGAGCACATGCTCCTCTGCCCACCCCACCCTGCCTTGGACAAGCTACTCTTGGCCAAAGCCTTGTAGGTGGTCAAGCCTGAGGAGGGGAAGCCCAGTGTGCATAAAGCACAGAGAGAGGACAACTCTGGGCGTAGGTGGAGTGCACCTTTCCCTGCACATGTACAATGTGGGTCTCTGTTGGCTCTGTTGAATATAAGGTAGTCTAATCGGGATTTTATTAAATCATGATCACAACCTAACAGGATCCTGAGTTCCTTTGGATAATCCTATTTCCTTTGGGTAATATATTTCACCTTGGGGACTCTATCCTACAGCAATAAAAGCTCTAGTTTTACATGATATATATACAAGAGTATTTATCGCATTGCATTGTTTATTGATTGATTGTGGCATTGATTTTTGTGGCAAAATATTGGAAGCAACTCAAGTGTCCATTAATAGGGAAATGGTTGACTAAATTAAGATACAAACAAGCTATTAAATATTATGCAGATGTTAAAAAGAATGAGCTAGATTTATCTCTACTGACTTAAGGGAAGCCTGTGACACATCATAAAATGACAAAAATATATGTAGAGGAATGTGAAATTAAGATAGCATTCATATTTTTAAAAACCAACCTGTATGTATCTTTATATTTGGAAATGTGTATATTTGTATGTTTTTCTGCATAGAAGGATAACGGAGTGAAAAGATTCACAACATGCAGTTAACATTGGCTACCTCTGGAGAAAGAGTATTATGAATTATTACTATCGCTGTATATATACACACATGCATAATATGTTACATATTATATATATTTATGTGTGCATGTGTATGTAGAGAGAGAGAGAAAGAAGCAGGGTTGGTGAGGTTCGCATATGAAGTTGATTTCTGAAGGTTCCTATCTGGAAGGTGGGTGTGGCATGTGAGCAGTGATAGAGTTCTCTCTGAGGGTGTATGTGTGAGTGTGTGTGTGTGTGTTGCAAGGGGGTGGTGTCAAGTAAAACTTAGTCACCCTCAGCTTTCATCTAACTAACTCACAGCCAGGGAGAAATACCTTTTATACCTGAACCATTTCACCATTTTTTCTGCCAAGCACTCATATGCAGTATAGCCTTTACCCTGAGGGGCTGAGACTTTATTATTGGACAAGACAACCATTCAGGAATCACTGAAAACTCCACTGCCTCGGAGTTTGTAGTCTCTAAAACAGGGATCTTCAAGTTGCTTCTGATCAAGACCCTCATCAGTTAAGAAATAGTAAGTTTAGTTATTTAAGTATAAATTATATACATGTGTACTCCTGTACTAATACACTGAATTATTATAAATGCTTTATTGAATCAAAAGAATGTTAAAGCAAGAGAAAGAAATGGAGGTTCTAATCTTAGTATTCCGTTGCTGCCCCTAAACACTCCCTGCCCTGGAGACAGTACTCTGAGGCATGAGCAGACGGGGATGGAGCTGGCCATTGACCAGGGACTCTTTCCCACTCACCTCCTTATTTGATACCTTCCTACGAGGAATGCACAATCTCTGTGCAGGAGACACTGTGTCCTCACAGCTCTGGTTCTTTGGTCCATGTGCTGAAAACTTTTCATGGCCATCTTCGACTTTTGAAAGAGAGGAAGAACTACTTTTATATTTCCAGGAACCTTGGGATCAGCATAGAAAGGGCTGATGGACTTAGGGAGGAGGGAGGCCCTGTGGTTAGTTCCCAGACCTCTCCCAATGCAGTGGAAATGCCATCCATCAGGGAGGGTGAGGGGGTGGTCCTTATTGGCAGATCTTGGACCATGGTGTTCAGAGGGTAGCTCAGGCTCATGTTTTCTGATTATACCCTTTCATTGTGAGAGAGATGACTGGGGGCTCATGGCTGCCTTGGGCTTCTCTGGTTCAAGCACAGTCCCAGGAGTGTCTGGAAGTTTCCTAATTTTGTCCTGAATTCCTTAACCAGTCCAGCCAGGGACCTGAATCCAGAGGACTGGGATTTCTACTCAAAGATGCATTTGCATTCTTCTCATTGAGTTTCCCTCTAAGGTTTTTAAGGAAAGCTTACTTTGTTCACTCACAAAGAAAGATGGGGCCACCAGCAGGAGGCTCACTGCCAAACAGGGGCCTGACTGGAGAAGCCAGCACTGAAGTAGGGCACCCCCAAATAGAGAAACCTCTCTGAGGGCACAGCAGAGCAGCTTCTAGCCCTGCTCCATGGCGGTCATCCCAGATACCAACCACAGGGCAGTGTTCCCCCAGCACATTTGTTCATTGGTTAGACCGTTCCTTTCTGGCTTCACTTCTTCATTCATTCCCTTGGGACATGTGTTAGTGAAGCCACTGAGCAACTTTTGTGAGCCTGCATCCTACCGAGAACTCATCTAGGTGCTGATTGGTGAGGAGGACTGCCTGCAGGAGGAGAGTCGTGACAGTGGGACTGGAAGCCAGCTCACAGCTCAGTGACACTGCATGTGATCATCTCCTAAACATGTGTCTGCACCCAGGTTTATTCCTCCTGGACTTTTCCTTTGAACTCTGAACTGGTTTAGCCAATGGCCCACTTGACATCTTCACTTGCACATCTCATGGTGTCTCATCCATAACACACCCAAAGTGGACTGCCGATTCCACCTCTGCTCCCATCCCCAACCAGCATGTTCTTCTGTAGTCTTCACCATCTCAGTAAACAACTTGGCAACTAAACAACTCATCCTTCTGTACTCAGGCTCAAAACCAAAAGTCATTCCTGACACTGCTCTCTCATATCCTACCAGCATTCTATCAGCAAATCCATTTGGCTGTATTTTCAAACTGTATCCCAAATCCAAGCCCCTCTCCCCTACCTCTTCTACTATCACCCTGATCCAGCCATTTTATTTGAGATTTTTGTGGTAGCCCCCACCTGTCTCTCTGCACCTGCCTTGCCTCTTGTAATCTATGAGAAGCACAGTAGCCAGAGCAATCCCTTTATAAGTCAGACCCTCTGCTCCAAGCCTTCTCTCCAGTGGCCTCCTCTCATGCAGAGGAAAAATCCAGTCTTCTGTTAACTGCCAGAGCCTATTTGATGTGACCCCTGTTAGCTCTCTGACCTTAACTCCTGCTGTTCCCTCCTGGCTTACTGATTTGTCGCTTTAGAGTTTCTCAAATAGGCTGAGCACATCCCACATCAGGGTCCTGGTATTTGCTGTTTTTTCTTCTTGAATGTTCTTCCCAGATAACTCACTGCCTTACTTCCTTCAGGGTCTGCTTATCAGAAAGACCTTGCTTGACCACTTGGATTCAGAGGGAAGCCATATCCCCAGCCTTCTCTATCCCTACATCCTGCACCCTACCCCAGCACTCAGACCTCCTGCCATATTATGTATTTGTCTATTGTCTTTCTTCGCCAACTAGAATGTTTGAAACTGCTATATCTCTGGTGCCTAGAAATATGTCTAGTTCTGCTAGACAGGTCGCACACAACAGGCACATAGTAAACATTCACTAGGATGAATGAATGAAATTATGAAGAACTGACTATGTGGTGGGCCCTAACCCAGAAGTATTCAATGAAATAATTCACCCTCAAAACTATTACCCTATGAGGTGGGGATTATTATTGCTATTTTTCAGAGAGAAACCAGAATTAAAACCCAGGTCTATCTGCCTCCAAAGTATCCTCTTCGCATGACAGCACTCTGGGAAAAGCCAGGCTTTCCTCCAAGAGCCTTCTGTCTACCATCAATGGTATGCTGGGTACTGAAATGTACACAAACCCAGCTAGAATAAGGGCTACTATGTGCAAAGGTCTTTCCAATTCTACCCACATTCTTTTTTTTTCTATAGTCATTTATTGATTTATTTATAATTTTAAAATTTCAATAGCCTTGGGGGTTAGCCTAAGTGAAGTAACTCATGCTCTTACTTTACTTTATTTCAGCTGTATGGCTGTGAGGTAGGGAACCATGAACCAGTATTTTACACCATTTTTTTTTCCCGGGAAAGAAAGGCTTAATGGGTTTACCAGATGTCTCTAGGTCAGTTAACTAGTCCTTTGGAAAGCCAAGTCTCCACTGCAGGTCTCTGACCCCAATTGCAGGGTGGGGGTGGCTGGTGGCGGGATCTACCCATGACCCTATCTGTGCTAAACACTAGATCAGGGATGCACTAGCACCACCTTATCCCTACCATATGCAAGCATCACCCAGAGAGATCCTCAGGATTCTGCCCCACACAGTACTGCAAGAGGGCACAGTGGACAACCAAGTGGAAACTGAGCTACGAGCTACGGTCCCACCCTTCCAACAATGAGAAAACTCCTTCTGGACTTCAACCCAATGTGCCCTTGCATTGCCCTCCCTTATCTCAGCCCACTCCCGACCTGAATTTAGAGTTGGACTTGTGCATTTCTCTGTTTCCCCCAAGAAGGCTCCATGGCACTTGGGTCCAACCACCATCAGCCAAGGAGACCTGAAGATGGCAGGTTCTGGAGGACCTCAATCTCAGCCATGCCTTTTACTCCATCCTCTGTCCTTTGGTACCCACCCAGTCCCTCCTGCCCCATCTGGGGCTGAGAAACAGGACATATCAATTGCAGCAAACTGCTACATCCACATAAACAGGGTGTTCAGCATGTTTTTGTAATACCAGCACCTGTTTGTTTAGTCATGCTGGGCCACGTGTTTCAGCACAAAATACAAATTGAGTTCCTCCCCTCAGAAGGGCTTGCAGTCAGATAACAGACAAGGCAAATAACTGAAACACCATTGATACATACTATATGGAGAGATGGACGTCTATTCCAAGACCTCAGGAGGTGGGGATCAGGTGCCGTTGGGCCCCATAGCAGCACTGTCAGCTGGAGTGACACAACGGTCAGGAACTGACGAGGACCCTGCTCCCTCGGTCATCTGTCAACAAAGCAGGGAGAGTGTCCTGGGTGTCCTTGGATTGCAATCATGAGCATCCAAGTTACCCAGAGTCCGAGCCTTAGTTTCCCTAACTGTAAAGTTGGGAGATGGTTAGTAAATATCCTCATAAAGATGTCCAAGAATTCAAATATACACCAATATCTGGAAAATAGTTTGGCTTCAATAAATGTTCATTTTTTTCACTTAATTTTTAAATTTTAATATTAAGATTGTGTCCCAAGCTGTTATCCCTTCTTCAGATAATTATACACAGAAAACAGGAATACAGAGAACGTCCAATCTCTGAACCACCTCAGCTGACCTGAAACCGATTTTCCAAATTGTAGTAAACACAAATGCATGCTCTCTGCTCATGCCAAAGCTGCATAAGTATCAGCTGGATCCCAGTTCACAAACACATGCAGTGCAGCTTCCCAGGGAAGTCACAGTGGGACGGGAGTGGAGCCTCTTACCCCAAGTCCTGCCCCCTGGAGCCACCCACCACCTCAGCAGAGACCCACCCATTTCCTTCAGACCAAAGACAGAGGGTGGGTACGGGATCCGTCAAGTCCCTCTGAAGACCCTCCCCCACATACCACCCAAAGCCACCTATGGCCCACCCAGGGAGTCCTAATGACACCCAGCAAAGTTAGCAACCTACCGGTGGAGCATCAGGGCTGCCTGAGATGTTCTCCATTCGCGGCAAATGATCTTATTTTCTGAAGTAGCAGCTTTCTATTGAAATTCTTCATCAGGCGCTGTCATGAGGAATTTCCCCCCCTTTTCTCTTTCTTTCTAACTGGTGAAATTGACAGTCTGCCTACATTAACCAGGCATTCATTTGCATGATCAAAAGCAGATTTGTTCCAAGATGCAATGTTCTGCCTTCCCTTCCAAGCACAGGCATCTCCAAGGAAGGCGAGAAAAATCAGAAACAGAGCGCCTCTGCTGTGCCCCTGAGCTTGGCCAGGAGTCGGCCTCGTCTGGTAGCAGGTGGAGTGGGGGCCCTGTGAGGAGCAGTAGGGGGAGGGCAGCCCATGTGGGAGTTGGAAAGCAGCACCTGGCAGCCCAAGGCGCTGGCACAAGCCCCAGCACAGGAATATCCAGCCTTTGGTGACAGATTATAGTAAGAGGAGCATGCAGGAGTTTCCAGTGTGTGTGTGATTTCCTGAAAGGAGGCACTGCTGCCTTAAATCCCCAGCACTCAGGGATGGGAGGGTGTTAGGGTCTGAACCCAGGGCATCGCGGGGACCTGGATTCAGAAAAATGGGTCACAATTCTTAGCTTTAGCCACATGATGTAGGAGAGTTGCTGAACTGGTCTGAGCTGCAGTTTTTTAGCCTTAGAATGGACACAGTGAGACCCAGCCTGTCTGTCTCTTGCAGTGTTATAAGAAGTGAAAGAGGTATCTCCCAACACCCAGAGAGCCCTGTAGGTCTCATGGCTCTAGGCTGCCCTCGCACACTGTAAACCTTCCACCCTGGAGCCGTAACCCCACATTACCCCTCACAGCTAACGCTTACATGCCACCTTGTCTGATTCTCCCCAGGGACCCTGTGAGCTGGGATTACGGTTCAGAGAAAGCTGAGGATCAGAAGTTTTGACTTGTACCCCCCAAAATAATAAAATATTGTATTTCATGACTGCATTGGTATAAAGAAGAATGTAAAACAGGCTGGATTCATTATTATACTTTCATTATTATTATGTTTTTTCTTCTGATTTTAAAAGAAATTAGAAAGAAAATACTTCTGTGAGTCCCTAAAAGTGCAGTGAGCCCTTGGCCCTGAGCCACCTGTCCTTGATGGAGAAGTAAGCCCTTGTCCCTTAACACCATAATAAGCAGTGAAGTCAGGAGTCATTCAAGCATTAATCCATGCAACATCTCCCCAACACAGATTTATTCAGAGGCTCCTATGTGCTGGACTCTCTCTAGGCTTTAGAGGGAACAGTTGTAATCCAAACAGATAAAGCCTCTGACTCGGAGAGTTCATGTTGTCATGAAAGGACACAGACGATGTAAGTAAATAAAGCATTTCCGATCTTAGAAGTGCCCTGAAGAACACTGAAGTGGGGCCATTGTAGAGGAGGTGATGGAATGGGGAAAATACTTTAGGGGCAGTCAGGGAAGGCTTTTCAGAGGAGGGGACTTCTGGACTGAGGCCTGAGCAATGGGGAGCCAGCGATGGGGATCGAGGTACAGAGCAAGTGCAAAGGCCCTGGGGCAGGAGTGGTCCTGGCTGTTTGGGGGTCACAGGGAGGTCAGTGCTAGGAGACCCAGTGGCCAGTGGAGGGACTGGGAAGAGAGGAAGTCAGAGGGATGAAGATGACCAGTTGTGAGATCTTGCAGGCCATCAGAAAAGTGACTTTATTCTCTTTGCAGTGGGCAGTTACTGGAATGTTTCAAGCTAATAATAGAAGGTGATTATATTGATTCACTTGTTTAAAAAGGGACATTTCTGGCAGTTATATGGAAAATTGACTATGGAGATGTGACACAGGAAGTAGAGATCAGATTGGGCTCTGTTGTGGAAATCCAGGGGTTGAGCTAGTAACTTAAATTAGGGTTGCAGACATGGATGGTCACAGTTAGAAATGATCAGATTTGGGATGTATCTTGAGTTGGCAGCTGACTATATGAGTTGGGAGTTCAGTAGAGAGGTCAGGGCTATAGATACAGATTTGGAAGAAAACCAAGAAAATGCGATTATCCCAAAAGCCAAGAAAAGAAAGCATTTCCAAAAGGAAGCAAAGGTCAAATGTCACAGAGTCAAGAGAGATGAGGGCAGAGATTCTACTCTTGTAGGTCATGGGAGACTTTGATGAGGGCCATTTCAGTGGAGTGACGGGAAGGAAAGGCTGATTGGAATAGGCTGGGGGAAGAGGGGAGGTGAGGACATGCTCACATTGCTTCCCAAACCCACCCTCTCTCCACTGAATGATGCTCTCCACTGGATGCAAACAGTCACCCACGATTTGCAGAGCACTTTGCTCATTCAGCAGCTGTCCTCACTGACTTCACCAAGCTCTGCTGCATGGCAGGAATTATGTCATGTCCATTTGGAATCCTTAGCTCCTGTCCAGCACTAGGTTAGTCTTCAATTCACGTCCCTCAAATGAACAAAGGAGTGTTGTGTCTCCATCTGACTCAGAGCTCTAGAGAAGTCTGGGGCATTTGTTTATTCATTCACTCATCCATTCACATAGTCTTGCAAGAAGCAGGTGAACTCTGGTAGGCTTCCTACTTTTCCGATCGGGATTCTGCCCTGTGTCTCCTTCTTCCCAAATCTGTGATGTTACAACCATTTTTCAAAAGTTGGAGCATAATCAATGAGCAAAAATTGACTACAGGCTCTTTGTGTAAAAAGCTTTCCTCCCCTAAGCCCCTGCCAAGAGCAGCATCTCTGCTTCTGCCCCAGTGTGGTGGAGGAGATGTGTTGTGAACTAGGACAGCAGCAGGGGTGGACTGGAGGTGGGGGCAGGTGGCACTCAGGAGGAAGATTACAGGAACAGGTTACAGCAAAATGTAGGGGAAGAGGGGAATGATTGTAGGAGCAATCAGGAAATACCTGCGTTTCATTCAGGTAATTGAAGGCTAGTCTTAGTCACTAAGGATAGGGAAATAGCGGGAGAAGAAGGTTCTAGAGGTGAGTAAGAACACATATGGATGACAAAGTTAAATTGTGCCTAGGTTGAGTTTGAGGGGTCTGAGAGATTACCAGGTGATGTGAGGCATTTGGATATGAAGGTGTGAGGTTCAAGCTGAAGAGAGACTTGGGAATCATTAGCTTAATAGGTCATTCTTGAAGCAAGGAGAGGAAATGGCCCCACCCCACAAGCATTCGTGGACAGAAGGGGAGGAAAAGGGGACAGAGGTGGCAGCTGGGAGCCTCGGCTTTCAAGAGTAGACAGATACAGCAGAAGGGGGTTCCAGAAATTAGCCTGAGGCAGAGCCAACTAGGAGGAGGAGATGGAGAGGTGGGGGAATGGGGCATCTGCTGGTGGACCTCTGCAAGGCCAACAGTGACCTTGATGGAGGTTGGGGCAGCCAGACAGCCATATGGTAAAGAGGCTGAAGGACAGTTGGAGCCCACCATGTAGACATAGTTTTGGAGTGCACATCTGACTGAGAGCACCTGGATGAAGCGGATGGAGGAGAACCTCCTGTTGGGGACCTCCAGGCAGGCACGTTAGCTCTAGGTGGGGGTGGGACTCATGATGAGCTGCACACTGAAGGTCCGAAAGAGCCAGGGGAAGGTTTGCCTAGCGAGGGGCTCCAGGGCTGTGGGCAGCAAAGGCTGAGCCTCAGAGAGAAGGAGGGCCCTCAGTCCAAGAGAAGGATGGGCCATTCCCTGAGGAGAGGGCAGTGTGGCCTGCAGAGTGCGCTGGCCTTGGGGTTTGCAGCAGGAGACAGGGCCAGGGGGAAGCAGTGCTGAGGGGCCAGTCGGCTCCTTACTGAGGCCCTGCAGTGCCTGGGGCCAAGGCAGGGACACCTGGCCTGGCCTGCTCTGTGCTCCGTGCTCTCTGGCAGATCACATTTGCAAACCAGAATGGGGGAGCCCTTCTCCCAGGCCCTGCCTGAAGCAAAAAAGCAAAAGGTAGGGTGAGGCTCTCCCAGCCACCCAGCCCTCTGTTCTTTCTGGCTTCTCCCCTGCTCCTCTGCCCTCATCACTCCATTGACCCCTCGGACCTCACTGCACCCCCTCACCCAGCTGTCCGCATGTCTGAACCCCACCCTCTCCAGTCTAGACTCAACCATCCTCCACGCTGCCTAACCCAGCTCCCCAGGGCACAACTGGGACCCTCACCAGCCAGCACCCCCCGCCCCGTCCCCTTTCCGGCTGCCTGCTCTATGCACTAATCTTGTTCCTTATGGCCCCAGGACAGTCCATATAACATAGATGTTCTGTCTCACAGAAGTAGAAGCCCCATGCAGGCAGAGAACAGCCCAGATGTTCACTGATGTGTCCCAAACGCCGGGAGCTGCTCCTGCCACACTCAGGCACACCGAGGAGAGTTGTCCAAGGGACAGTAAGATGAACAACAAGGGCCTGCAGCCATGTGTTCTCATCATGTCTCTCAGACACCACTCGGCGTGAACATAAGGGCGTTTCTCACCTGTCTTGCTGATTTTCTTTTTAATCATTTACTAACTAGAGGGGAGAGATAAGTCATATTTATTGTCTCCCATGTGTCAGCCTCTTTATAATCATTAATGCATCTCATTCTAACATCAACCCCATTTTATTGACCCAAAATGAAGGCACAGACAGGCATATCCACTGAATACGTTTGTTCATTGGAGGTGAGTCATCTGACGCACAGAACAGAGCTAGATTTGAACCTGAGTCTCTCAAATGCCAAATTTCACATTCAATCCACTGGGCCCCGAGACATTCAGGTTGATGCTGAGGCCCTGCTCAGTCCCTCAGCATTTCCAAGGGGCTCTTCCTTTTCATTAGAATGTGTTCATGGCAGACCTTCAAAAGCACACAGCAAGGACTGGCCAGTTCATGACAGCCCTTTGTGTAATTCCTGCCTGTAACAAATCTACAGTCTAAGGCAGACCCCGCCTGTAATTACAGCTTGTGGAAGTCAGCCCGTGCAGTCACACGGTGGTCCCTGCTCCCGCCTGCTGACTCTCTAATTAAACTGGCAATGGCATCTGTGCTCAGGGCCTTGCCAAGCATGAAGGAATGTGTGTCCCAGGTCTTGCTGAAAATGTGCCCCTTCACATTCCCTTGCAACCCAGTGGGGCTTGGGAATTTATCTCCTACTATTTGGGAGACAACTTTTGGATCGTCTCCAAAATATTGACCAGTCAGCAAGGCTGCACCCAATTAGTGTCTGAGATCCCCATAAAATGTGGAACTCTAATCTCAGTCTCGTGGGAGCATAAACTGGGCCCCATCCCTCCAGCTACCTGGCTGTGAAGCTGTTCCAGACCATTTTATGCAAGAGGGACTTCTTTTTGCAATGCCCAGGGGCTTGGTGTCCTAGCACTCCTAAAAGATCATCTTAGAAGGAGTTTCTGCAGAACCCATGAAGGAGACTCCATCCTTGATTGGGGACACTCCTTTTTCTTTTCTTTTCTTTCTCTCTCTCTCTCTCTCTCTCTCTCTCTCTCTCTCTTCTTTCTCTTTCTTTCTGTCTTTCTCTCTCTCTCTCTCTTTCTTTTTTGAGAGGGAGTCTTGCTCTGTTGCCCAGGCTAGAGTGCAAGCTCCACCTCCCGGGTTCATGCCATTCTCCTGCCTCAGCCTCCCAAGTAGCTGGGACTACAGGCGTGTGCCACCACATCTGGCTTTTTTTCTTTTTGTGTGTGTGTGTGTATTTTTATAGTAGAGATGGGGTTTCGCCGTATTAGCCAGGATGGTCTTGATCTCCTGACCTCATGATCTGCCTGCCTCGGCCTCCCAAAGTGCTGGGATTACAGGTGTGAGCCACCGTGCCCAGCCTGGGGGCCACTCCTTTTTCTAGCAGGGGTTTGGAAAAGGGATTCCAAGTGTTTGGACTCAAGCCCAGTGGGGACAAAGCTCAGCTCAGGCCTCTCTACGACATGGGCTTTCCCTGACCTGTCTGAATTGGACTCAAGGCTGAGTCTACAAATATCTAACAACAATGACAATAGACACAGTGCTAAGCCCTTTATAGGTTTCATCTCATCTAACTTCA